TTCGTAGCGTCTTGGGCAAAACTTGAGTTATCCTTTAGATTAATTTACAATCACAATGCATGAAAAATAATTTACCAACATTACAGGCCTGGCTTCGACCCAAGTCACGCATTCCAATAAATTAAAAGAAGGAAGATGAACATATAAATTTACGTTTAATTTTGGTGAAGGTTTTTAGTAATTGTAAATTACATTTTGGCAGAATAATCTAAAATCAGATACCAGGAGCTATATCTCGAATCGAATTAATCAATATGCACTTTTCAGGCTTTTCACGCACTTGTGGCGTCAGACACGTACAAGGGCGTGACGGAAGTGACTGGCGGTAACAAAGGACCTTATGACGTCAATACTGTTGCGAAAAAATTACTACTTTTAAATTCAAATGCCGAACAGCAGCAGCAAATTTCTCTCGCAGCCGTAATTTCCAGGCCGTCCCTAGCTCAGTTCAGTTGGTTAGCTCAGTTCAGTTAGTTTGGGCGCATCGCGAAAAACGGCAAGAGAAGGCCGTCACGCAAAGGCACTTCTTTTTCAGACAAAAATGAAATTTGCCCAGTGTTCTGAGAGTTGTGCAGATGTCCAAAGATTCAAATTCCTTCATGCTTCTGTGGTGTATGGAAATTCTGATGTGCCAGAGATTTGAAGAGTACCATGTTTCAGATAATGATTGTCTGTTATTCTACCTTTTTTTATTTCGAGCGAGAAATGCGGGTTTGTTCGGTGACATCTAAAAGACTTCTTTGTTAGACTCGTTACACACCAGAAATATTTGCAGTCGCTGCTTGAAGCGGAAGTAATCGTTTGTTTTTCGTCTACAACAACAACAACAACAACAACAACAATTTATTTCCGTATCCCGATCCCATATGAGTACGTGATATTACCTTAAAATATAATATACATATGTAATATGTATATGTATGTAATGTATGTATGTAATGTATGTATGTAATGTATGTATGTAATGTAACTAAATTACAATAATTTAGTGGATTAAGTAATAGTATCGGTCTGCCTGTAATAGATGGAATAAATTAGCCAGTGCATGAATGTGATTTTAGTCTGCCTGGCAGGCGTTCAAAGGGGAGGGAGATGGGAAAACCAGTAGACTGCAAAGTTCTCCCCTCGGTGCAGTTTTCAGATAGTCGAGCGAGATAAAAAAGTGGCCGAGACGAGGCAGAAGGGAGAATCACCAATGAAAAAAATCTTCACAAATGGGCTTATCTCAATCGTTCATCGCTCTCTGAAGATTTGAGTTCGCATGACTGTTTGATCGAATAAAGGAATGTTTGCTGTCTATTAGCTTCTGTTGTTTTACCTTTGGCTGAGTGTTTTACTGGCAAGCATCCGGATGTTCCGGTCCTCCCCACTGCCTTTGAAGCTCAACTAGCAGTATAATATTGACGGATGAACAGTTTCTCAAACATTTCAAATGTTTGAGAACATGAATCGAAATCTTTAAAGACAACTGTTTTCTTAGCGTGGAATCGAAAGAGGTAACTTTTTATCACATTGTCTCCCCAAATGTAAAGGTGTGAATGAATCATGAGGCGGGGCATGTGGGTTGCCGGTTGTACGTGGGGGTGGGTGGAGGCAACCACATTCGGTGTCTGGTAGAGGTTAAAACGGAAACATTGTCAGCACCTTCAACAAAATTACGCGAGAAAAAAACATATTAGTAGCGCTTGTCTGCATGCAAGGAAAGCTCAACAACTGGCCGTTAGCTGTATTTTCCCTCTCTCTATGCTCTGCGTGATGTTGAACTCAGGTGTGACTGGAAATCTGGTACTTGCTGTTTTGTGTTTTTCTGTTCAAGCGCGCAGTATACAGAATCAAGGTACGTAAGCTGAATTGTTTCAGTATTGATTTAGTCACGGATAAGACGGATGAATGAAGGACATAAAGTTACCTGTTTGAATATGACGTGAATGGCCTCGTTTTAATAGAAGACGTACTGATTTATTATCTTATCCAGCTTCATGAATATGGCTTGTGTGCTATCCAAGATCTTTATAAGCTGAGCAGCTGAATATTTTGCAAGTTGCATGGGGAGCGATAAGCAAAATGTCCCTAAGCGAGATTGTTGCATTTTAGTCCTTTTAGACTATTTTCTTTTTCTTTAGTTTATCGAAACTTTCAAAATTTGTTCGTTTGTCTTCGTTGAGTGTAACCAGAAGCATAGGTGATATGCTTCTGGTGTAACCCTTGTAATTGTACGTTCCGAGCTCACAAAGCAACTGATTTCTCATACAGTTAAGAAAAGGCCATACTCCATTACAGTAACACGTTCTTTACTACAGTGGAATTGCGATTTTTCGAACCTCCAGGGGAAACGAAAAATCGGATGGTTCGAGAAATCGGGGATAAACTTACAGTGTTCGACTGAGGAGAGGGAAACGACTTTTGGTTCGAGTTATCGGGAGGTTCGAAAAACATTAGGGTTCCAGAAATCGGGATTCCACTGTATATGGTAACATGACGCCATAGCCGATTGAACACACGGGCAACCTCGATATTCCTCAGTCTCCTTAGCCTCCCTTGTCGCTGAGAAGAGAGAGACTGGGATCAAGGTTAATGCATGGGTTTGTCCCTGGGTTATTCTAAAATCCAAGGGATATGTTCTATCCAGATCAATTACAAACGAAGGGGCCGGAAGTTGTTTTGTTGTTTTTTGTAAACAGTGTGCAATAATAAAAACTGAACTGAACTGGAAGGGAGCAAAAGAAGGGTTTTAATGCTTAAACATTGCGGGAAGAATTAGTTTTCGTAGGATTTGCCTTACCTGATCAATTTGGTTTGGTTTATGCTTGACGTGGTCAGTCTCTGGTATGTACATTTCTCAAAAAGGGGATCCAGAAACAGACAAGTCAGCTATTTCATTCTATGTTTTGTGGTCCTCTGCAGTCTAGAGCCTTATATTTGCTGTTAATATTGCTGGAACAGGTGATGACACTACACTAGCAGAAGCTGATAAAACCGACAAAACCAACACAGCAAAAACAGCTTTTGCAATGATTATGGAAGCGAACGGCAACAACGGAAGAAGTAGAGGTCAGTAACCCATCTTCTCTCTCATACAGATCAACATATGAATTCTCAATACCGATCGCTAGTTATTGATCGTAGCATCACCTTGGAGAATTGAAATATTGAACAACTGAAGATGGGATAAACATTTCATTGTGATAATCGAGCAAAGACCAATTTCTTTTGAATATAATTTAATCCGCCTCTCTCTTGCTAGACGGATACGAGCTATTTCAAGGTGACATTTTGATGACCGACGACATTCGAAAGGAGTTGCGAGACATGGGACTATATCCATCTAATGCAAACAAATCGCGTGACAGTCAGACAAGTCCAACAAGGCGATCTAAACGAGCCGCCATATCAAGTCTCGCAAGGAGATGGATTGGCGGGAATGGAGTACCGGAGATCCCGTATCAACTTGAACCGAGTGTTCGTAAGTGAACGGAGAATTTTCTATGTACAGTTCTTCTCCATGTTTATCTTAGGTTGAACAATGTAACGGGAGGCACAGGTCTTTTCTAACTATTTTTAAAGCAATGTCTCTAGAAAGCAAACATACGAGAATATAAACTGTAGAATCCAACAACAGTTTTGACTGTCGAACCTTGTGTTTCAAGATAGCTGTAGATGTAAAAACAAAATGAACACTTTTGAATGCCCATGCTTTCATTGATAAAGGTGAAGTAAGCTAAAGTAACGACAACTAATTACTATTATGGGATACGGCAGTTAAAATGTTATTGATATATTATTTTTAGACTACCCGGCCTTGGCTAGTAAATTTTGGCATGCGTGAAAAACTGAACACGAGCATCACTGACACGCACTTAACGCGCGCAATGAGATATATTGCTGTAGCTCTTTGCACGCATTGCATATCTATGATACCATAAATGTACTTTGTTCCCGGGTTCCAGGTCACGCCCATCGTTTAATCAAGCAAGCAATGGATCACTGGGTAAAACACGTACCGTGCCTGCGCTTCGTACAGCGTACAAACCAGCGGTCTTACATCAGTTTTTTTGCTGGGGGAGGGTGAGTAAAGAGTTTGTCACCTTTTAAATCTCTGTTAATTGTCGGCCCAGCTACATCTCAGCTGACTCTTGTCTGTTGTTGTAGGTGTTTTTCGAACGTGGGACGGCAAGGAGGGTTTCAGCGGATTTCCATAGCACGAGGCTGTGAACACCTTCATATAGTAGTACACGAAATAGGTAAGCTATTCTGAAGCACGGTGTATGGGTTTTAAAGTGCGATGTAGAAAAGATTTTATCGGCATAGTGTTGTTAACGACCTTGTTTGATGTGTTTTTCGTTCCAGGTCATGCTCTGGGGTTCTGGCACGAGCAGTCTCGGCCCGACCGAGACCGTTACATCAACATTTACTGGAACAATATCTACCCCCGTAAGTATGAAAAGGTTGAAAGACTGTCCTATCCTTGACATAGAAGGAACCAGATCTCGTGCCTCATCAGTGCCAGCGCTTAACTCCGGTGTCCAAAAAGCGAGGAGACTAGGAGTATTGCTACAGTCCTCAGATAGGATGACGGTCCGGGCGTCTCGCCCTCACGAGTACAAATGCTGGACTGAACATATGGGCTATGTATGTTCAGAGTTCAACTCCCCAGCCGTTTAACCACTGTGTTACTCCAACGAAATTTTTAACAATTAGGCTGAGTCCCCAGCGCAGCCAAGTTCCTGTCGCTCGTGGAACATGAGCGCTATTAGTATACAAGGCACCATAATGATTGATCTTCAAGCAGATTATGCTCAAATTGTTCAGACAGTTTCCTCTCGCTTTTGATTGACTTTGATTGTTGACTCGGAGTAATCTAGCCGTATATCAATGGATAGAAACCTATAGCTCGACGTCTAATTGTTAACTAGGCAAAAATGTGCGAATAATTAGATTTGGGCACTTGAGCACTTTGGGCATTTGGTCTACTAAATGCATTTTATGCTAGTCACTGACGATTTAATTTTGATTTAATTTGCTAGGGTTTAGATATGCGTTCCACAAGTATGCAGACGGTCGAATCAATAGTCTTGGTGTTTCGTATGACTATGACAGTGTAATGCACTATGACTCGCGTGCTTTCAGCATGAATGGCCGCACAACTATCGCTCGTAAAAATGGCGACACGCGCCTCGGAAACACACGGGGACTAAGTGCTAAAGACATCCAGCAGGCGTGGTTCCTGTACTGTAGAACCAAGCCAACAGACCACCCACCGACATTAAAACCTACCATTCATTCACCAGGAGGTAAGATCGATTATCTCATTCTCGTCACCAGAGGCCGATCTTTTTTGTCAGCACCAATAATCACGACCACTCGCCGGACTCGATTGAGCATGCCGACCAAAAGGATCGCGGCCTCGCCTTAGGGGACGAGTATACGACTACTGCGACTATCTGTTTCACGTCAAGAACGCTTTGAATTTTCAATTTTTATGCTTTGGAGAACTGGATAGAATTTGGTGAAACGCCTGAAAGTTGTGTTTAAGGAACCTTAGGAACAAAAGATCAACATGATCTACTTACAGATCAGCCAAAACTAGTGGAGCATACCAAGGTGATTTGACTGTCGAACTAATTTGGAAAGATTAGGTTTCCAGCGTTACCACTTCACTACAGTGAAAAAAAAAAAAAAAGAAAAAAGAAAAAAAAGAGAAGAAACGAAGTGCTTGCTTTTCAAGTTTTCCATGACAATTTATTTGATCTGATCTCAAATTTGATTAGACTGGGACTTGTTGATTAGACTTGGGCGTTTCAAATACTGTTTGAAAGTTTGAAATAATACATTTTCCTCATCAATTTTAATTTAATCACACCCTGTTTTTAGGTTGTCGCTACACTGACAAACACAGGTATTGTCCTTATTGGGCCTCTCAAGGATTCTGTAAAACTGAACATAAGGATTACATGGACCTGAACTGTCAGAAGAGTTGTCTTTGTGTGGAGAGTGAGTGAAGCTCATGTCTTTGTATCTTTGTTTGTTAAATAGGTTTTTGAATAGATAAATTGTTATTTCTTTTTTTTCTAGATGCGTGCCAAGATAAAGGCAGCAACTGTGGCCTACGGGCAAACAGTGGATACTGCATTTCGTACAAAGATTACATGGAAACATATTGCAAGAAAAGTTGTAGAAAATGTTGACTGTTATAAAAGAGCTGTAGATTTAACAAACCAGGTTAAAACTTTGAATAAAGCCGTGAGTGCTTTGCGTAATAGGACATTGTAGTTTAATTTCGGTGTAAAGCCTTCGTATTACATTAGGTTTTATTTCAGTTGCGCCTTGCTGAAAAACAGTAGCGTTGTCATTTGGCAGCCGCCAATCCCTGTGTTATGTAAACACGTCCCCCCTCCACCCCCCTCCACCCCATCGTCGGAATTAAAGTAGTACTCCATTTCACTTTGAAGAACACAACTTTTATTTCAGGAACTGTAACTTTGAACACTTCTCCTCCTAGCTACACATAATAAGTAATATGTACAACTTGGGATCGTTAGAATAATAATCGATCGAATTAATTTACAAATGGTCTTGAGACCAGCAAACAACTTTTACAATCTTGTATTCTCTGCAGTAATTTTCGTTCGCTACAAGCTAGCTAAGTCTGTCACTTAACAGACAAACAAAAATACGACAATTTTCAAAGAAATACGTGTTTGAAAGCTTCCGTTTGCTATCGTCCGGTGATAACATGCTTGTCACGGCAACTGCATCATGAGAGTGACGTAATGACGTCACGTCACCTAGCAACGTCACTGACCAATCAACAAGAAGCAAGGGCTCAGACTTTTTGGAAGCCTAAAATTTGTCATAGAAAAATCACGTAGATTAAATACAGTGCGGTTGTAATCCGCTGTTAATTTGTCCGGTATGTGAGACAAATTCTATTTTTTTCGTTAAATATAGTTTGTTTAGTTACTCTCTGGTTGAGAGGTCCGTATATAGTATGGCAAACCGTCCAGATTCCTTTAAACGGGTCGGCCACACGGTAAATAACATTAACATCTCAATACATCATCATACGCGCACAGAAACTCCTAAAGGCAACACTTTGTATCCAGTCGCTAGACCACGGAGCTGAAGAAGCCGTGTTTTTTTGCATCATAGGAAAATTAAATTTTTAAAGAAACAAAACAAAAGTTACTTAAAGACTATCTAAAGAGCGTGCGCTAAGCATTCTTAATTCATATAATCCATACGAAATAATTACAGTGGAACCCCGTTAATACGGACACCAAAGGGACATGATAAAGTGTTCGCATTATCCGGGTGTCCGTATTAAGCGGGCTAATTTAAAAGAAAATATATGAGCTTTTTAGTTGTCGGGACAAAGAAAACTGTCCGTTATAAGTGGGTGTCCGTATTAAGCGGGTGTCCGTAGAGCGGGGTTTCACTGTATTTTTAGAAATTTAGCATGCAATGTTTCCTACTATTTTGAAAATTTATTTATCTGTTATTTAATTCGCCGCTTATTTCAAATGATAGCGGATGTTTTCGCTTTTCAAAAAGTTCTCAATCCTCCGAAATAGAAATATTGTGAGAGATTTACGGAACACCAAAAAGTATCTCTCATAAGCTTAGAAAGAACAACAAATCACAAAAGTCAAAAAGAAACGTTAAAAGTTATTATAATTCCTCATAAATTATTTGTTGAAGACATACGGTTAGTTTACGATTTCTAGATAAGTTAGCAAGGCACAAGCTACTGACCTTTTGCTTTTTCTAAAGAGAGGATTTTAATTGTTAAAGGTTCAAACTCCCACAAAACGTTTAAATAAATAACTAGAAATATCTCAGATCTATCGTATAAAGACAAATGGCTTATTTTCGCGTTAATTTGAAGCTCGAAGCTTATTCATTACGCTTGTAATGCTTTCACACTCAAATTTTCGTCAATTGTTTAGAGTTAGTAATTTATCATAAGCCCCTCTTCCGCATGCGAAATTGGGCAGCGCCAACACGCACGCGCTCTGGGGTAGATATCATTTGAGCCCGCGCACTGGATCGAATGCGGATAACAGCTGTTCGCAATAGAGACGTCATTTGTGTGACAGCAAGAGAGGTCTTCCCATGGCCCCCACTGGGGTGGACTTGATACTTGGTAAAACTCTACAAAGAAAAACAAACAGTTGTTAGGCTGTGTTTCACCTCTCAGGTGGGAATTATTTAAAACTTTGCTGAAAGATTTGTCATGACAATTTGATTATTCGATAAAAACATGAGAGTCACAAAGCTCATTTTTTAAAGGCTGATAAGAACCTGCATTTTAGGGATTTTTGGGTAAACTGTTGCCATGGCAACATCTATACAAAAGATGATCATAACTTGTTTACCAAATGATTGTTGTTTACCTCCGCGCGCAACACGTTCGTCAACAATGATATTTGATCAAAGATCCCCTAACGAGTTGTAAAGCGTCGCTCTGAGCGCTGACAGCTTATCCGTTTATTAATGTGCAGCTTCTTGTGATTAACTTTTGATACTTATGGGTTCATAAAATTATATTAAAAATGTCTTCTGCATATTGAACACGAGAGCTCATGAAAAACCGTTTGGCTTCTCGAATACAGGAGGACTGGTGCTGATTCAAGAGACTGGCAAATGAAACTGTACCAACCTTCACTAAATAAGTCTCGTGAGCCATGGGTCAGCGCTCCACTTGAAAGGAAACATGCGCCGTCCCCGTTTTCATACGCCTGAATGCCATTTGACATCAGGTAGCTTTCTCTGTGGAAGTAAAATATAACAGCATTCTTTAGTATTTCAATTCTTGTACCCAGAACCCACGGGTTTTCGGTCGGTGGTGATCGAGCACTCGATCGACGCTCTTGGCAAAATCAAAAACAGGAACCAAAAATTCCTAGTTCCAGTTTGATTGTGCGCATGTGTTCAAGTTCATGGTTTCTGAGCATGCGTAGAAAGAGTAGCCGCTGGTGCTAGCCAAAAGGATCGCGTTCTCTGGGAACGAGATTGTCGTCGTATTTCGGATCCGTTTTATTGAATGGTTTTCAGAAGTTAGACCTATGTTATTTTATTGAGAGAAATTTACACAAACCTTTCCGTGTCACCTAAGAACCTAATTGAATCTCTAAATCCCTTGGCAAATGGATTGCTGTAAATCTTGAGGCGGGTTATCTGCAAAATTATTTTAAAGAAAATCTCTTACTTTATTAAATTTAAATTGTGATTTTAATATTGAAGAACATTTTACATTGCTGGCAATTAAGCTGACTCTGATGAAATACCAGTCAATCTATATCTTGATCGACTGACCGGTCTTTACCAGGATAAATAAAGTTATTATTATTGTTATTATTATTATTATTATTAGTATAAAGTCCACGTCACTTTTTTCACTCCCGGTAGAATAGTAAACAGAGTAGAGAGTCGAGTGAAGACACTCAGAGAGTTTTTTCTTTGTATAGTTCACTTTACTTCCATGATGGATTCTATAAGGTTATTGTTAAATCAACTTTAAATTCCTGGCATTGGAGAAAACAATGGCCAATTCGATTGCCCTCAAAAATGTTGATTCAGGACATAAGTCCGAACGAACATCCACCCACGACACATTCATGCAACAATTCAGCCACTGCGGAGTAATGTAACTATAAAATAAAGTTAAAATAATTAACTCAGGAGGAACTTTCCGAGAGAGTGACGAGGCGTCTCTCTCTTGTCATTATGTTTACGTGATATGGAATTCATTTCATTTGACCGGTTGCCACCGTTGCTAAACACTCACAAGGTGATTCTGGTATGATGTGACAGCCATGAATGTCGTCTCTGGAAAAACGAAGGTCTCTGCTCTCGTTAAGTCCGTTGAATCGCTTTGCTCCTCTGGATTCTTGATCAAATGAATTCTTGGTTGATATTTATGCATCGAGTTTAAAATGATCTGAAAATTTTAAAAGATAATACTAGTTTGAATATTTTCGCCCATGTTGTCACAAGGGTGATGTACTTTTTCTTGGGTCTTGCTCATGGAATTAAAGTGACGAGGATGTTTTGGGTTATTTAGCTGGGGATAGCAGGAATGGTTGCTCAGGCGTTTGTGAATTTTGCAGGAATTTGTTTGTTTATTTCCTTTAATCTTAATGAAACTGATGGAACTTTACCATGGCAAGAATTTGATCGTTCATCACATTCCATAAAACGCTGAATAGACAGTTCAATAAAAAGCCATATATACACGTGATGTTTACATTTCGGCTTTTTAGGGGGTTGCTTAAATTAACTACATCACGGTTTGGGCATCTTGAGAAGTTTAGCATAAATTTTTCAAGTTTGTCTTTTGTGATTCGAGCAAACCTTCTCCATCCTTGACCATCCTTGTTCCTTTACGGTTTATTATCATCTCTTTGATGTTTTTCTATTTTCAGGTTTCCTTCAATTCAAAGGTAATTTTGTACCTGGCCAAAATAACTCAAAACGCCATGACTAAGCTCCCTAAAGTCACTGATGACTTCACTACTATACGGTCACTAAAAGTAAGTGCAAAGACGTACCTTGTGAGAATTTTTCAAATGGTTTGCATCATTTCATGGAAAATTAAAAGCAAAAAAAACAAAAACAAAAACAAATAAACAAACAAAAAAACAGCGCAACAAAACTGCTGATGACAATATAACGTACTTTTTCGACACCCTTGAGCGACCACCGGCCTCTGGCTCCAGTTTGCATTCACGAGTTGCCCCACAGGAGCTCTTTGATTTGACATAGTCGTGACCAGATCGTAAACTTGGCGATAGAAAAGGTAGATTGTAACCAATTCTAAATAACCACTACATGATGTAGTTTGCGTTAGATACTGTGCTGGACAGAGCTTCACAAATTAACTCGTGAAATTTGACGACGAGAACTTATTCAATAAAAACGCGGAAAATTCACCCCCAAAACCCTAGAATCTAGTTAGGGTTAGGGTTCAATGTTTAACTGAGGTTTTCAATGGACGAGTGGGCTCCGTAAAAAATGACACTATATTATCAAAGGCATATACCCAGCTTTTACATGAGTAGCGAAAATTATCAATGAGCAGACTTTTAAGGGGAACTCAGCTACGGTATTTTGAGTTGTTTGGGCCACGTACAAGAGTACCTGTAAATTGAAAGAAACCTGAAAATAATAGTTTATTAAGACAGAAAAACACCAAAGAAATAGTAATAAAAATAATGGAACAAGGACAGCTGCAAGGATGGTTAAGGATGGAGAAGGTTAACACGGATTATAAACGACGACGAACTTGAAAAATTCAGGCCAAAGTTTTTAAGATAGTTAAACGCAGTCGTCTTACCGAAGAAACTAAAGCCACCAGGGTGACCGAAAGGCGAAGCAAGTAACAACTGATCACAGAGTGTTTAAAATTGGAGCTATGGATGAAATAAATGAATTAAATAATAACCAAATGCTACCTTTTAGGAACCAGTATAACGCAGGTAGATTGTTCTTCTTTAATTATAGATAGTAAATTTCGACATCTTTGGACGAGATGGCGACTTTGTCATCAATTTGGCTGTGTAACACCCGTTGCGGGTTTTCCATTCGACATTGTGAAAGAGGAGAATAGCGTCTATTGCATACAAATTCCATGTCAACAAGTAACAAGAGAGGTATAGTCCTCTGTACTACTAAATCATTTACATTCTGTTAAGTTCAGAAACACAAATAAATAAAACAAAAGAAACTTTGCAACAGATTATTTTCAGTACTGAGGAAAATTCTACAAAAAGAATTCCAACTGAAGTCCTCTGAAAACCGTGCACGTTAAGTTTTGTTTATTCTGTTGCGAACTGAAGTGGGTTGGGTTGCTCTAAATTTTAACAGGTGAATTTTCGCTTTTGTTTGCTGTTCCAGCGGAATAAGGCCAAGGGTATCACACTTGGCTAATGGCTTACCGGGAATAACTCCAAGCAGAGGATCGCCTTACTGTCAAAACTACTTGACAGCAGGCAAACACAGCCACAACTCAAAACAAGTCAAGCCGTGAACAGTTGTGATGAAAACGAAGATAAAACGAAACCGCGTGAAAGTTTTGTAATTGAAATATGGTGAAGACAGTTTACGTGTTGTAGGCCTTTATTTTCGTGCCGATTTCTTTTCGTTATTTTCGCGAGTTGCTTATGAGGTTGGAGAAAACTATAGGGGCAAATTTCACCGCACATCGGGTTAATATTTTCTACCATGAACTCCTCTCGTCTTAAGGCGGCATAATTTTTCCAAGAGTTTTTCCGGCAATTTTTTCACCCAATTCTGAAACCTTTTTGGAAATTCGTAACGAAAATAGGGTATTTATATTGAACGAGGCCGAACTTATGGCTCGTAAATTTCGAAAAAGTGCTGAAACTTTGTTAATGCAATGAAGCTGCAAATCCGTACGCCTTTCATGGGAAAACCACTGAGGACTTGGACCGAGGGCGCACATGATAGGGACACCGTATCGTGTAAAACAGAACAGCTTTAAAACTTTAAATTTGGTCGCGGATCGATTTTAAATAATAACGGAAACGTGCGTGATGATTTTAGAGTGCAATTCGACTAAATGCTTTTTTCCGAACGCTAAATTATCGGTTTTTACAAAAAGGACATCACTAATTGCGCTAATAGCCGTTCTTGTTCTGTTAATTAAAAAATAATTAGTACTAATGTAAAAGGGCTTTATAGTTTTTATAAGCACAACAAAAAGAACGCTACTTAAGACTAACAGCCGGAAAAGTGCGGACCCGCGCGGGGCTAGTTTTTGATCAGATAAACAACTGACTCGCGAAATAAGGAAGTCTTACATGGGTTGTTATCAACTTGAAAGTAAATATTGACTAGATGTCTTGCACTTACATTTCCCCGCTTGTCATCCCGGTTATTCGTTAACTTGACTTTCTCAAATGAGAGCACTTGTCCCTCCAGCTGCCGCCCTGTAAATGGGGAGTCAGGGTGAACGCACGTTACTTTTGGGGGCACAGCATCAGCTTCTCCCGCAACAAACCAAGCGGAGTCCGAGTAAGAATACCGATGTCTTTTCGTGTCCAACGGAACGATGTCCAACAAGACAGCGTAACTGACATCAGGGTCCAGATCCACAAATGACACACGTACTGTCGGGAACATTCGCCTTAAAATAGGGAAAGTCGCGTCATTTAGCTTATTAAAATTTAAAACATCGGCTTAATTGAATGGAATAAAAGTGTATTAAACTCTGTGAAGAGATTGCCGACTCAAATCGTCTTCTATTTGCTGCTAAAAGTCATCGATTTGAGATATTTTTACAGTCATGTGAAAATAAGATTCTTTTTAAAAAGTATGTGTCATCCGTTTTGGATCTCTATAGCGGCAAAAGCCCTAGATAACCGATTGTTTTGTTTGTCGAAAAGTGAAAGACAAAAATTACTCTTGTCATAAACCCGTCGCAACGTCTCGCCCCTAATGTTCGCATACTTATCACGTGACCAGCTTCGCGTGCTACTTTCCTAAGTTTCAGTTTCAAGTGGGCTGAAATGTTGAAACTTAATACAGTTTTAGGTTCAAGCCAGAAACTTCGCAAAATCGACCCTTGAATGTCGGAAAGAAAGTTGTAGATAAAGAAATATGATTGCGTAGTTTGCAAATAGGAATCCCAGCGGAAAATTTCTATATGTTGAAAGTGGAGAAAAAAATGTGTGGTGTCCCACTGAATACATGGAGACGCTAACTTAGTTATCCCTTACCGACTCGGCGGCAGGTGCTTACGGAGAAAGGCACAGCGAGAAAGTTTTTATTGATCACTGTGTTCACTTGCTTCAGTTTACTGAAAATTGTGACTGAATAGGCTCGAAATAACTTTACGTCAACGCTGTGAGAGAAGCAATAACTTAGCGCTATTTTTTCTATAAGAAAAAAAAGTGAAAACTCTCGTCTAAATGCGTAAAAATTTCGTTAAACTTCGTAAAAAGCCTCGTTTCCCGCCCTTAATGGGGTTTTCTTCAGTAATGAACGACGGAAATTCGCCTACATCTCACTGCGGAATATGTTTGAGAAATTTCAAGTTGGAAACGGTGAATTTTAATCCATGAAAGGGGTTATGTTACAGCGTGTTCTTAAAATAACTGAAGTCGTACTACAAAGAATGTGACCTAAATCATGTCCGCGCGCTTAGCTTTTATTTCGTGGCTTTTATACTGCGTCTATATTATGAGAAAAAACCTGTGTATCAGTGACTACAAAAACTTTGGCGGAGCACCACGTTGGTCATGTTTCCCCCGTCTGAAGCAAGACGCTGGTCAAATGACGCACCTGCACCTTGCACTTTCGTCTTCTTCTCCCCTTGTCCCCGATGTGCTCCACACCTCGTGCTTTATTCCATTTAACTTTTGAAAGCGAAATTTGGAATGAGCACTGAAGAAGGAATTCCTGTCCGGCCACGCTGCCGTTAATTGTCGCAGAAGTAGAAAAGCCTTCATTTCAGATGTACGCGTAAATGGAAATCATTAGAGACAAAAGAGTTAACATTTTCTAAATTTGGATGAAATTCGGGCTGGAGTCGGTCACGCGAGTTTATATAAAAAAAGGTAATAGTATAAAAACGCTGGCAGAAACCCCCCGAAGCGGTTTTTGGACTTTGTGATATAATATTGATATCAAAAGTGTTCAATAGTTCAACTGCTGGTTTAGAGGAAAAGCGGAAAAATTGAACGAGACAAGGGCAGACAGGAGATCAGAATTTTAGACCAAAACCACACAAGTTGCGAAAATGAAAGAGCGTGCTGGATTGCATTCTTTTTACATGCGTTTTATTTAATTCCCATTCAGTTAGGTATCTCTCGAATTCTCAGTATTTCTCCCTCATTTCTAGACTCTTGAGAGCTAAAAATACTGTCGCTTTCGACGCAGAGGAATATTATATCAAGTATTATGTAGTAGTATGCCCGCTGCTATGTAATGGTAGTGCAGCAAATTGTTGAAAATGTGCGAATTTGTTGTTATTAGGGAGTGTTGAGTAGTGCAAACCATACACTTTTCAAAGCTCACATTTCAGTACTTTTCTCGCCTTTTTTCCAAAGCAAATTTTCCAAAACAATTACTCGCAGATTAGCTCAAGTTATATTAACATGTATACTGTAGATTTTCTTTCAACTAAACGTTTAGAAACTTGCTATTTTGTTTTTGTTTCGAAAATTAAACTGCACAGTTCTTGATTAAATCGCTGATAGCGCAATAAAAGCAGTGTTACGAAGAATGCTAAGACCGTCTGATTTTCGCGAGCAAGCGGCAAACCACAAAGGGCATAACCACAGTAACACATCGTTGTTTGAAAACATGCTGTTAAAGAGTTTTAACGGATAAACCGCATTTGAAGTCATTTTCCTGTCAAAGCGATCACTTTGTGTTATCGTAGGTATCAATTGCAAGCCGAATCCGTCGATACAAGCAAAACGCGTTAGTTGACAACTAGACAAAACAATAATTTTAAATAACCTGAAGTAAAGAGGACCCCCAAAGCCCTTAAATAAAGACGCACGGGATAAACGCCGGTATAATTCACCGTAATTCCCAGATCTGAGGTAAATAATTATCTTATCGCACGAATGTGCAATAGCAAAGTTTAACTGACCTTCCTGTCTTGGTAATTATCATTTCTGTGCCTAGCCGATAGAAGCAGTTCCACAGTTCCTTGCCTTCTAGTATCACCTCTGGTTTCAAGGTTTTGAGTTTTTTTCTCGGCACCGGCGTGTCTCGATTCTCTCTCTCCGTGGAAAAGACTATGTCATCGCTTTCGTCTCTTCTGTCCGCGAGTCCCTCTGAAAAGCGGATAACACATCATTACGCCGACTCCGCAAGAATAATCTTAACCCGGCTGAAGTATAAAAGGGCTTACCTTTGTGCACGAGGGAGGCAATCGAAAATGCTCGAGCTTTGTTCGACAGATTTGCTGTTTTGCGGCTACTTGGATGTTTAAGCGACATTTTCGCGGCCTGACGACGTCCTCTCGAGAGACGCGTAGAGCAGTGTACTCGTTTGGACCACGCATGAACTTATCAAGAACGTTGAAGCAATAAGTGAATTTTACCTTTAGCAAACAATCAATTAAAACCTTTTAACACTGCGCCATGTCGTCGCCGCCGAGAAGCGAACTGTCCTATTGGCTTCACGTGACCCTGACACAGTGCAAATATTGTCAGGTGCCCATCACTACACAAGCACTGGAATGGGTCCCTTTAACTTGAAGTTTGCTCTTTGCCTTTCATCCTGAAACCCAGAACGTCTATAGATCCCTTGAAAAGCGCGAAATTGCTCCGAGAGGCTTGGAAAAAAAACAGTCTGCGTTATTCTTTCATTATTCCTAGCGGAGTTCTCGGTCTTTTTCCAGGCAATCCTCTTAGGTCACTTCGTTTTCTTGCCGCAGTTTTTCGCGATCAATTAACACTTCTACGCGTCCAAATAGATATGCATCCAAAATCTTGTAGTATATGTTTAAAGTTTAGAAGATGAAGTTAGATCAGAATGGTGGATTTTAAACATTTTTTACATTCATCTTTGACATAAAAGAACATGAAAATTGAATCATTGAGGGCAGAATTTTGTCGCAAAGTTTGACATACCGTTTTTCGTTATGAAAGGAAATGCGAATTTGCATCGGGGAAAACTTAAAACTATTCAAAAATTCTTCTAAAGGGTGTACGTTTCCTATAGCAAAAATTCAAACATGGCATGACTTTAGCCAGCACAACTGTTCAGTACATAGCAAAGCTGTTATCAGGAATCCTCCCAAGATTCTTAACTCTCAATCTACGATCTAAGCTATCAGCAAATATGTAACAATGGTGGGGCAAAAAGCGAGTTTTTGGTGAACTAGATTACTACAGAAGTGGCTTTTTGATCATAGATCAATGGCGCCAGAAGGTCAACTTTTTAGAATTCATCTTAGAAGTCGATGAAAAGATCAGGCGCTAAATTGAACGCCTTCCTCCTGGGCGGTATAAAGCCGTTGAAATCAGCAGATCGAGGTTTCTTTTTCATGGCAAAACAGATCACAGTTTATACGTTAAATCGATAAATTGTAAAGTCATTGGTCATACTGACCAACAGTGAGGGTGGAAGCCATTTCAGGGCAGCGATAAACCATTCTATTACAGCAAAACTGCTCATTTGAAAACAGAAAAACTATTGAAGGTGCAGGAAAGAAACCTAACACCCCAGCTCGGAAAAATAAACAGCCTAATTCTTCGTAAGTACAGGATTGTAAACGTTAGAATATTCTGAATTTGCCGTACCGAAAGCATTAGGAACTCATCTTTCAGCTTATCCATCGATTACTTCTTCAAGCTTTTAGCAGACAATTGAAGCAGTGGTCTCTGGATTTTGTGGGTGCAATTCAGCTGTGATAAATGGGGCATGTTATCATGCCATGATCAGAAAGCTCCGGCACTCCCACCAGAAAAGATTACAAAACATCTCACTTAAATATATTTACTCTGGTTTAGTATGTTCACTTTTTTATCGTACTTCAAAACCAGAATACAAAAGGACTCTCGCAGAATCTGATCTCCGCTACGTGTTCACTCGACTTTCTAAGCTATCTCGTATGTTTCCTCATTATTCTTAATAATCAACATTTCCTGTGAAAACAATTTGGAGGATTTAGCCACAAGGAGGTATTTCCTGTTGTTTTGGCGAGTCGTTCTGTTTGCCGATGACAGCATTCTTTAAAGATGATTTGTCTGTTAATGATTCTATGCTCCATCACGTAGTCATTTTTAGTTCTTTTCCCACGCCTAAAAGAAAACAAAATTGGAGTGATCAACTTGTTTGATGTTTACCGACTTAAAGTGAAATAGTTTTTGGAATCTTCCTAAATTATACCCACTCATTGTACTATCAATGGAGCAATACATACATACGTCAGGGGAAGGGCTGAAACAAAATTCGGGCTGCACGTGTGAATGAACCAGCCAGAACTGAGGAAACATGCTTTCTCGGTTGTGGTGATAGAGCGCATATTTCTTCACGGTGATAGTGTAAATGATATTCTGGCATTGTCATTCAGTCATTCTCCATCTGCTTCAAAATTCAACATGAAAAAGCACCATCTGACAAACTTCAACGCCTTCGATTCAAGGTGCAACTTCAAGTGTCATTGTGGAAGAAAATCGACTTCATGGAGAGCAGCGTGGAGGGCTGAACGATGAATCCTTCACACAACTTCCGGCTTTAAACCGGGACACAAAAATGCAAACCGAGCAAGTACTAGCTGGTGAAAAAGTTGGTTGTTCAGTGATGAAGCGACATCATCGGCGAACTTGTGTTTTTCTTTTTTAGCAGAGCATTACGCAATGCGCTCCGTTCTTTATAGCGGAGAGCATTTTTACCCGGGCGCCCAAACGATTGACAATGACATTCGGCAACGTGATGTCGCGACATCACACGTTTGGCATCACGAAAGACACATGAAAAGCGCTAACACGCTTTGTTCTACTCACGACGACATCCCAGCATCACCAAAACCTTCAAGAAAGTTCGTTGCATGTCGACAACTCATAGATTCCGTGACATTGGTCTTTCGTTTTTACTACCATCTGGCCAGCCGAGAGAAGCGACTCAGTCAAAGACTAGATAGACTTTTTTTGCATTGCTAATCGCCCTGATTAACAGGCGCATTTTCGAAGGGAAAGGATGCAAAACGCCGCGCAATGTAAGATAAAGGCGGAGTACGTTATTCTTCCGAAATTGGCCAACAACATGCTAGCAATATTAAAGATGCGGTCGTCGTGGATGGAGCCCAACACTGCAACGATAGACCGGGAGTAAAGTCACGAGGCACCAATTTTCTTGATTATTTTGTCATGCATATTGCGCCGAGAAACTGGGTAAAATCTAAAAACCATAAAACGAAAAAATGTTGCCGCATTTCTTGATAAATCCTGTAAAACTATCGTATCTGTTGGAAAATGCGGCAGACAACAGATAAGACATCAGGTTAATTGCCTTGCAGGAAAAAAGTCCGTTTTGTCATTTATAGATCTTGATAAGCAGTCTTGAATTTCTCGACTAATGTAAAAAAAATAAAAATATTTCCTAACCAAGCCGAAAAAAAAATTAGTGTTTTGGTTCTGTCGCTGTTTTTTCGTTTTTTTCAATAGGACAAAAGAAACCGCATTGCATTTTAAATCTGTCATCGCTTGTTAAACTGCCATCCACATCGTGTAAACAGCACGCGATATTTCACTGCACGCGATATATCGATAATATTTCACGGTTTCACTCTCTGCCTAAAAACTTTCAACACTTTTCTTAAAACGGTCTATTTTTTTGAAATCCTTCAAGCTTTCATTTCCTATAAATGTGATGTCAGATAGAAAGTAAAAAAAAGGGAAGAGTCGAACTTAAATTTTACATTTGCCACGTACAGAATAAATTTTGGAAAAGTCGCATACATTAAACCGGAGTTGCTAGGCCTGAGGACAAATGGGTTTCGTGTAAAATCAGTAACAGTTGCAGTGTAATTGAAAACCTGATCGATTGGTTAACGCTCAAGCGAAAAGCTTTCAGGAATATTTTTGAACCATATTGTAGTGTGGAAATAAATTTCTCATATGCTAGGAATGACTGATTGAAGGTATTACGACCTCTTTTAATCTAAACAGGAAAAAGAATCTTACTAAGTGTAAAAAAAAAACTAGATGGTTTTGTTCTGTCAAAACATATGTATACAGCTGCTGTTTTACGCAGCAACACTTTCAGTTTTTCGCCAACTCCCACAGAATGGCCATTGGCCCCGCTCATGCTAAAGTTCAGTCGGCCGTCCACTGAATTAAGGATATAAAAAGGTTTACACTTTGGATAATTTGCGCATACAATGGCGTCTTTTCGAAGCTCAATTTTTGCACTTAAACACCATCTTGACTGCCCTCTCTCCAATATCCACTTGTATTTTCATTCCTCAAGCCAAGTACGTTTTCAGTTTGCTAATTAGAGCACGTTACTGCGAAGTGCAATTGTCTACAGACTTAAGAATAATAAACAAAAAGAGTGTAAAGTGGAGCGGACCGAAACATGGCCAGATTTTGATGCAAGAGCCGAAACTCGATTTATGGTGAACGCCGGTAACTTGTTACATCAAAAAATAGTTAACTTTTAAAGCTAACAACTGCTTGGTTGAAATGTTGTATTTTAGAAATAACGTAACATCTAAACTAATGTCTCCAATGAATTGTCAGCAACGGTTGTATGTATTCCCACGGTCAGTCATCCATTAGAGATGCGTTAGAACTGCCGAGTTTACAAACTAAAAAACAAGTGTTAAAATCATATGAGGGAGTGAATAATTATTGTTAATGACATAATAGGAAAGAGCAATGTACATGAAAACATTCTCCGCGTATTACAAGATTAATTCCACCACAATGGCTATTATTGATTTCAGTGTAAATGAAAACATTCTTTGATGTTGTTAAACGAAACAATAACAAGATAAGGATTACACAATGACGCAATCTCGTGGGAAAAATTCTTCTTGTTTATGGCGGAACTCTAAAAGCTAGTAATAAGGCTCAGAATAATATCTGACTAATATTTTCCGCTTTCACCACGTGATTACAAGAAGAGGAGGGGTTCGTGTAATATTAGCCCAAAGTTAAGAATAAGGACTGACGAGTTATCTTTGAACTCGTCTCTGAAACAGACCTGGTCAAACATGGCACTTTCTGCCAAAATTCAACAAAACATAAGTATGCAAAACTCGACACCGGCAGGCGCTTTGGTTCATGATTTTCCGACACTCTACCCCGCCTCCCCAAATGGTCGACCCACCCCCTCCCCGTTGGGGTGGGGTATGGTCCTACAGTACTTCCTAATGTTTTTAACAAAATTTCATCTAAAATCCGCCTCAATGACTGTGGAAATAAGTTACATCTCTATTATACGGCCACCAGAACCTGGAATGCCAAGCGTTCACCTGAGGAGGGAGGGAACCAGGAGGGAGGGGGGTGGGGGTCAAATAGCTCAGAAGGTCATACGTTACGTTACCGAGGGTTGTCTCTCTTAGAAGCTTGCAATCGAGGCCCAGTATGCGTAAACCACAAGTTCTTGCTGATCCTGATTCTGACTGACCCAGCTTTAACCAGAAGTACAGCAGCACCTCGTAAGCTTGTAATTCTTTTGCTTGGTAGCACCTGATATTGTTTTAGGGCTAGGGGCATTGTTTCTGCTGTTTGTTCTATTGTTCTCTCAAAGGGGTAGCAAGCCATTCATGTGAGACCTTACGAGAGCTGCTACATGACCCGCTTTAATTGGCTGTTGTTTTTTTTTTTAAGTGTTGCTTGCTGGGTAAGGGTCCTTGGAAATTAACTGGAACATGTCGGCCGGTGTCACGATCTCTCATCAGCAAAAGAGTTGTTGTTGTTTGTTACCTTATAGGACATCCTCAAAATTGATTCCGGGCCCTAATAGAGGTTAGTATCACCCAACTAGTGGACTAATGCAAATCCTGCATTTTGATTGGCTACGCTACTAGGGGACTATTAGTAATAGTCATCGAGTAGCGAAATT